CTGAATCAATCAGCTGAATTTCGTACATGTATATGTTATAAAGGAGTCGTTGTGCAATTATGCAGACTAGTGGATGTTTCAGTCCTCGATATTTTCTAATCTTGCCTCCTTTGCTTGACTATCCAGTTATACACAACTTGTTTTCATCATTCTGTATATTGACGGAAAAAAGAAAAGCAAGTTTTTATCCGGTGGTTAATATTTCAAAGTTTTATGGATGATCATATCATTGTTAAGATGTTTATATTAATTCCTCATTACTGATTAAAATTTGATAAGTTCTGTTGCCTTAACACAGACGGCGTTGGCATGGATAGCATTTAAACGTGGATACCTTACGCCATTTCCTGATCAAAATCAATAGCGGGTGTGCCCACCTCGAGCAGCAGTCGCTGCTCTAACTCTCCTTACCATTGACCCCATCAAATTGTTTATGGTCCTTTGTGGGATGTTATTCCACTCCTGAAGAAGGGCCTGCGTGAGCTGAGCGACGTTGTTTGGGACGTTGACGCGCTTCCTGAGCCTCCTGTCCAGCTCGTCCCACAAATGCTCGATCGGGGACAGATCTGGACTGTAGGATGGCCAGTCGAGTACTGGGACATTGTTTTGGTTTTGGTCAAAATATCGCTCACCGCGACGTCGATAGCAACGTTTTTGTCCATCTGACCTGTACAACGTGAACCGAGACTCGTCCGTGAATAACATACGTCTCCAGCGGGCCAAACGAAACCGATTTTGTGCATGTGCTCGCAGCCATTGCATTAGACGTTGACGTAGCCTGGGTATAAGTTGCGGACCAACGTAGGGACGTCGTGGCCTTAAATTGAACTCCCGCAACCGATTCCTAACTGTTCTTGGACACACACGGCGACCATGAGTGCCTACAATATGACTTGCCCTGATCTTGACGTGGCGTCGTAACGTGTGGACGTCCGCTCCTGGGACGGTCAGCTAATCTTCCCGTGGCCCTGAGACGCCCAACTAATCGAGCTATTGTTGACCCATGGACTCCAAATTGTTGGGCGAAGTTGCGATTGGCCCTGTAGAATTCGGCCAATAGCCCTACCCCTATCAACTTCGGGCATTCGCGGCATGCTGCTTTTTAATCGCCTTGGAATGAAATGTTGTGCACTGGATGTGTTCTGTTCAAAACTTTTAGTATGGTTTTCAAGTTAATAGCACGTGGTAGTGCTACGGACGCACGCTTTGTTGGAAAATCTGTTCAAATCGTGCAGCGACGCCCGTGGTCAAGGTTGACCGAATATAAACCGACGATTATTTAGACAGTACAATGAGGTATTTATGTGTCACATTTCACAACATTTGGTCTACGGATAAAAAAGTTATATTACCAGAACTTGCGTTTCTTTTTTCCGCTAATTTATAATACTGACCCCTGTCGAACACCCACAAAATTGACGAAAATTGAAATACTGATCTTTTGGCTTTTAAATGATTCCTTTTACCGGTTCTCGATTATCCTGAAATTTTCACCAAATGTTCTTGACATGAAGAGTGAAATAACAAAGGTTTATGGTGCTGGATGTACATGCTTCAGTTCTTTGAAAAATTGTCTTAGCTTAAAAAATGTACAAATATTTATATATATTTATACTTTTTTTTTAGGTTGTGACCGTTTGTATACTACTGCTGATATCAATAATATAAAATACAAATGATTAAATGGCGTGCTTTTTGTTCACTCCCGACACTGTTCACTCCGACAAATGCGCAATGCGTAAAATCGTGAATTCTGCACGTGCAATCACGGTTGTTGAAAATACAGGTGAGCTGTCACCGAGACGTGTCTTTATAAAGTGGTCCGTCCCAAAAACATTCATTCGGTGAAGGTAACGAGAATAATGCTCATGAAACACATTTGCAGCGAGGAATGACTCTAGGAAGATTGTCGGTTTCTGAGCGTCCCCGGACGGGGAGACTAAGGGTGACAGCTATATCCGGGTAACTCACCTTCGTAACCGGACCCAGTCTGCAACCAGAACATCACCTGCTATCAGAGTTAGAAGACGGCCAGCGTCGCCTACGTGAACATGGCATTATTTGCCATTGTCCTTACATAGGGTCTATTCTCACTCAGCGCCATCGACAGCAACGTCTTCAATGGGCAAGGAATCATCAACGATGGTGTCTTGTTGACCAGCGACTGGTTCTCTTCTCAGACGAATCTCGATTCTTTCTTTGCCATGCTGATGATCGATTGCGTGTGTAGCGTCGACGTAGCGAACGTTACACCGATTCTTGTGTCCTACAGATTTACAGATAGGGTGACGGCAGCTTGATAGTATAGGGAGCCTTCAGCTACCACAATGATATACCTCTTCAGTCTTCCGTCAACGTGTAACAGGAGTGGTGAGTAGGGATGACGTTCTGATGCCTTACGTCGTTTCCTTGTTTGCTGCACAGCTGCAACTACAGTTTACCAGCAGGACAACGTCCGTTTCCACACTGCTCGAGTACCTATGGGTTTCCTTGCACAGAATAATGTGAATGTCCACACTTGGTCGTCTCTTTCACCGGACATGGCACCGATAGAACATGTGTGGAAGGAAATTGGGAGAAGCTTCGTTGACTCCTCCAGGAATAAATCAATTTACCCCTGGCATTCTTCCCGATCCTGTAATTCCATTAGACGACGTTGCACAGCCTGTATCAATGCCCAAGGCAGACATACACATTATTGCCTGATTTGTGACTTTCCTTTCATAGAGGGGTTCCTTCATTAAATAGACAATAGGAATTAAGAATTTTGTAAATGAAATCTAGCCATATTTTTAAAATGGCAATTTTAGCAAACTATTGAATAACTCAGTAAAAATTCACTTCCTATTTTCGATTTCTTAAAAAAAACATCTCTTAAATCGGATTTGCGTTTCTTCTGGGGCTCAGTATATACTTCATTCTTCTTCAGCTGTTTTCTGATCTCACTAAACATGATACGGAAGGTCCATTGCAATTGATGGGCAGACACTAGCCACACAAGAATACGTTACAACACACAAATGTGATAAATACAATAATAAAAAATGTTAAAAGCATCTTGTTATGGAATAGTGCGAGAGAAGTGTTAAAATACAACTTAAAATCAAGGATAACTCTAACCAAAATGCAACAGCCATTAACAAAGAGTAATCTGTAAGTAGGAGCCACCGATGTCAGAATACACCTTTGCCAATGTAGCGTAGTACCCCGCATCGATTTATAGATTCACGTCAGGACAAACTTACGGGAAGGCCAGTTGGGGGTTAGGGGGACCTTTGATTACACTTCAGTACATGTCGCATAGGTGCTTGAAACAAAATCATGCTCATTCAGGCCGATTATTAATAAGATATATTAAAACTACATTGATTTCCACATGTGTGTACTGTGTATAAAATATAATATAGTGATATAGGAGTATCCCGCTGTATCATGATCCTGAATTTAAACATTTCACTTATACCAACCCATTTATATATTATTTTTATATCAAACTCAGCTGTACATAATTAGAAATAAATAAAATTTGACAATATTTAGAAGCCATAACACGGAAGGTAACTCCACGTTTATTACAATTAATCCTACTAGGTATTATAGCAATGTATGGTTGATGAAGGTGAGTATTATCACTATATATCGTTGATGAAGGTGGGTATTATCACTATGTATGGTTGATGAAGGTGGGTATTACCACTATGTTTGGTTGATGAAGGTTAGTATTAACACTATGTATGGTTGATGAAGGTTAGTATTACCACTATGTATGGTTGATGAAGGTGGGTATTACCACTATGAATGGTTGATGAATGTTGGTATTACCACTATGTATGGTTGATGAATGTTGGTATTACCACTATGTATGGTTGATGAAGGTGGGTATTATCACTATGTTTGGTTGATGAAGGTGGGTATTACCACTATGTATGGTTGATGAAGGTGGGTATTACCACTATGTATGGTTGATGAAGGTGGGTATTACCACTATGTATGGTTGATGAAGGTGGGTATTATCACTGTGTATGGTTGATGAAGGTGGGTATTACCTTTATGTATGGTTGATGAAGGTGGGTAATATCACTATGTATGGTTGATGAAGGTGGGTATTACCACTATGTATGGTTGACGAAGGTGGGTATTACCTCTATGTATGGTTGATGAAGGTGGGTATTACAACTATGAATGGTTGATGAAAATGATTTTCCTCACTTGGTATGGTTGATGAAGATGGTTTTATTTGAAAGTAAGAAAAATATTTGTTCCTCTTCCTTCTCTATGACTTCAAATAGTATAGGTAAAATTCGTCAGTGTGTACGCAATTATAGACTTGATTAAAAGTGTGGAATTGACGACAATGGTTGCTTTACTAGGACAAGACTAGGAGAACTTGTACTTGTACCCAGTTGCAGTTTAAGTGTGAAATCTAAACAATTGTAAACTAACGATGGATTATGAAATTGAAATTTGAACGTCACATACAGACTTGTTAATATGTTTAAATTTCATAGTTTTTCTCATATTTTTTATTTTGATTTAAATCGCCAAGACGATGTTATATAATTCTGTGGTAGACCATGTGTGAGAAAGACGTCGGTAAATCTGCGTGTTTAGATATACGCACGGTCTGTGATCAAACATGACCCGAAATTTTAAACAAACACTAACAAATACTTTTTATGGTATATAGCAATGCTTTTCATGAATGTTTGAATTAAAACGCTTGGTTTATCTGACTTCTGATACTTCTAAGATCGTAACACACTTCATCTCCTTTTTTTTTATTGGATTTTTGATCTCATTAAAATAAAATAAAAAGTTACTACCTAGTTATCTAACACTTTAATTTTAAACCTAAACTCGACTTCTGTCAAATACGAATGACTCGTGCAGAAATCAATAAGATACACGGACGAATACTACATAAGTGACATATGTATACTTATATCCTGTATGCTTCCTGAAACTCATGTTCCTGGACAATTAATTATTTACTGACTACAATGTCTAACACTGACCATACGAATGATTACGAGGGAAAGTTTGACGGAGAATGGTATCTTAATACCTACTATGAACCTACACTTGAGATCTTAGAAGAGGATGTATATCTACGGTTTACTCTGGACAGCTTACACGACGCGTTTAGGACAGGTATATAAACATTGATTAACAGCTTGCACGACGCATTTAGGACAGGTATGTAAACATTGTTTAACAGCTTACACGACGCATTTAGGACAGGTATATAAACATTGATAAACAGCTTACACGACGCGTTTAGGACAGGTAAATATACATTTATTAACAGCTTGCACGACGCGTTTAGGACAGGTAAATATACATTTATTAACAGCTTGCACGACGCGTTTAGGTCATGTATATCAACATTAATTAATAGCTTACGCGATGAGTTTAGGACAGGTATGTAAACATTGTTTAACAGCTTACACGATGCGTTTAAGACAGGTATGTAAACATTGATTAACAGCTTACACGACGCGTTTAGGACAGGTATATAAACACTGATTAACAGCTTGCACGACGCATTTAGGACAGCTATGAAACATTTTGTAAACAGCATATCAGTGGTAAGCTGCATACCAGTGGTAAATGAATTACAAGTGGTAAACATCACACCGTTGGTAACCAGCATATCAGTTGTAAACAACATACCAGCTGTATGTTATCTTCAATCGCCTCTTCATTCGCTTTCAAATACGTTCGTGTCTTTAGCAAGCGGAAGTTTATTAGAAAAATAGCATCTGTTTGTTGTGTCCTACCAATAGCTGAATGAGGCTAACTTATTGTAGTATTAAACATCCATTAGATATACAAAATATTAAAAGTTATATTTAAGGAATAAAATCAAAGTTAAGTTACCTAAATCAGGGACTGAAATGTTCCCTTTAAATATAGTCTAAATTTCCTTGACCCCTGTTACCGGACGTTAGACATTTTGGCTGTGTAAGACCACAGGAAACTCAAGGCGTTATATATCCTTTAGAATATGACTTGGTCGTGTCTAAAGTGACTCATAAACATATATACAACACACACATTATAATATAAACTGATTATATTTACAATGATCGAACTTTATGAAAATCTATTGATTATTAATTAAACAAAATTTGTCGGTATTTTATTTATAAAGTTAAGCTGACCGGAGGTCGCCTGCTGGACGTCGGTACTGGTCCAACACTACATTCAGTTATCAGTGCAAGTCAACATGTTGAGGAAATTTTCCTGAGTGACTACACGGACCAGAACAGAATAATGCTCACCGATTGGTGGAAATCGGGAGCGAGGACACAGACGGGAATAATGGCGTATGTCTTACGGAAAGAACAGTCAATGTAAGACACATATATACATAACAATGATGGTCGCTTTGGTGATAATCATTATACAATATTAGGCACAGATCAGATTTGTCGGACATACCAAACTTTATATCACACAACAAAACACCACCAGGTCTAACAACGGGTCTCGGACACACCAAACTTTATATCACACAACAACACACCACCAGGTCTAACAACGAGTGTCGGACACACCAAACTTTATATCACACAACAACACACCACCATGTCTAACAACGAGTGTCGGACATACCAAACTTTATATCACACAACAAAACACCAACAGGCCCCACTTGTATAAAACATCTCAACTTGAGATTTCCTCAAGTCGAGATTTTCCTCAGATGATATGTCCTCAAAAACGGCGTAAGGTAGATATTCACTTGGTAAATATAATGTCAAATGAAAGCAAGAAAAATATTCTTTATATTTAAATATTTTTTACCATTGTAAAGCATGTTTATTCTTCTGTCTTACTATATGCGGGCAAAAGATATAGAATTAATATTTAATTTAATAATCCAACTTTTATAACCCACGTTAGCTAAACATTATGGCCGTAAGCACTGTACAGACAAGTAATAAGAAAGAAATACGCTAGGTAAAATATGTCAAATGGAAGCAAGAAAAATATTCTTTATGTTAAAATAATTTATGCCATTGTCGAGCTTGTTTATTCTTCTACCCAGCTATATGCGGGCATAAGGTAAAAAATATTAGTTTAATAATTTAACTTTAGTGCACCACTTTCGCGCTTCTCATACAGTATCTTATATAGTACCGTCACTCGGTTAACAGCGGACATAGCACTCAGTGTTATCGTGTCACGGGTATAAGGTGAGGAGAAAAGTTGCCCATGTGATGTTTTTGCTTGCAAATTCATTCGTCTGACTCCATGATAATGATATTCCTTTTTCTGTTTCAGTCAGACCATATCTACCAGACTTAATGACATGCGGCAGAAAGTCCAGGGAATTTTACCAGTTGATGTACATTTGGAACAACCTCTCGGGACTGAGTACGGTTCGGAGTATTTCGACATCGTCATTTCTAGTCTATGCCTCGAAGTTGCCTCGACGTCATTGGACGAGTATAAGAAGGCAACCGGTAATGTATGTAGCCTGATCAAACCAGGGGGCTACTTTGTCCTGGTAGGTTTATGTGGCCAGTCGTTCTACAAAGTCGGTGACAGCACTTTCAGTAGTCTCCCTATGGAACTTCGCGAGGTAGAGGATACCCTTGAAATTCTAGGAAATACTCTTCTTAGTATACGCTGGATTAAAACGGAGTACAGTGAATTAAGTGACACAAAAGGGGCGTTTGTTATCGTAGCTCAAAAGAGCAAGAGTTGAAAGTACACAGCCCTCATAAGAAAGTGACCTTAAGACTTTGAAGGGAATTAAAACTCAAATTATTATTATCTTTACTAAGAATATAAACTGAAATATGATCAAAGTCTTTTTACGACAATTTCTGATTATATATATTGGACATCAGTTTGATTTCAAGGCGTTATTGTCACGTGCAAAATGCCGCGACAAAAAATCTCAGACCTCTATGTATATCTACAAATATACTCTATGTATCAAACAACTGTGACTTTTTATGATATTTGCTGTCATCAAAGTTAACACAATGAAAAACTATTGTTTATTTATATAAGCTTTGAATCGTCTCGGACATCGACGTTCCTGTAATTTGCATAGAGTTGTGTCCCCTTTTCCAAATGAAAAAAAAAATTAGAAAAGCACTTTATTTTTCGTTGTCATACATAATTATGTAAGCTATACACTGGATATTAAGATAGGTTTTACTTGAAAACGGATTTAACGTTTATGAATGAGAAAAGGCGAGACTTGTGAAGGCATGTCTTATTAGGAAAATAGAAGATCGCCATACTCGAAGGAATACTTCGACGTCCGACGTCACGTGATTTCGTTACGCATTCAAAATATGGATATTCATCAAAGCAAAAGAGGGTTGGAACAAATTTCGTGGTCGTCCCTGAGTTAGAAGAGATGATTGCATACATTATTGTATAATTTAAGGGTGAAATATCTATCATTTTACCGAAATCCTTCAATACGCCCATGGACATTCCGATATATACCTTATATCTGCGGTAGGAATTGTGATGATAGATAAACACCTGTATGTCCACGATAGGAATTGTGATGACAGATATATACCTGTATGTCTACAAAGGAATTGTGATGACAGATATATACCTGTATGTCCACGATAGGAATTGTGATGACAGATATATACCTGTATGTCTACATAGGAATTGTGATGACAGATATATACTTGCACGTCCACGATAGGAATCGTGACGTCAGATATGTACTAATATGTCTGCATAGATCACAAGATAAGTTTACTAACTGACGTCATTTAACTTTATGGGTGTAGAAAAACTTTCGGCGATTGTAATGAATATTACAACGGTAACTTTCCCGCTTTGGGATCCACAACTCTTTTTACAACAAAGTTTTAAAAATTACCAACAGTGAGTATTTTTTCTCATTATTTTATTAAGTTAGTCAAATGAAAGTATATTGATTACATTATACAAATGGAGAAATATATATTACATTTATAGATCTATATATTATACAGAAATTCACAGCCAAAATGTTCATCCGAAACAGCACATGAGATAATGCATTAAGTTAAACGACTATATAGAAAACCAGAGACAAGTATATATACACTGCCCTCCAAATTATAATCATTTTGGTTGGCATCACCTTTGTACAAAATTGTGTGGAAAATGAGACGGAAGTAATTTCTGAAATCATTTTCAGACAGAATTGCAAATACAAGTGAAAATACAATCAACTGAGGTTGGGGGGAGTGTCAAGTGACTGGCATTTTTTCAAAAGTGTGTACTTTTTTCCCCCTTCCTGTCAAGAAAAGCTAGAAAAAGAGGCTTGGCAGCCTTGATGGTCACCTGTGATAAGCAATATTGATTACAAAAATAAAATGGTAAGTAGCTTTCAAGTATCATAAAAAAGAAATTGTGACATCAATGATAGTAAGCCAGTGTCAATACATGCATACCATCAAAACTGTCACCCTACACTGATAATTCTTACAAAATAAACAACATTATGCTCAAAAATGCATTTTTTCTGTAAAAATTTCAATAAAGTAATCCTGATCCCTAGGAAGAAATGTGAAACCCTTTTTGGTAATTAAAGCACCTTAAGACTCTTCCATCCATGAAGAGCATTGGATACTATCCAAATGGGGGTTGAGAAGAAGATTTTTGAAATTTGAAGTGGAATAGGGATTATATAATTCATTCTTTTTCTTCATCTTGGGCACAAAAAGGTTTCTGCAAAATTTAATTGAAATTGATTCAGGGTTTTTTGAGAAAAAGTAAAAAATTGTTTAATTATTTAAGGATGAACAATGCATGGGGGACAAAGGTGATCACAACAGGCCACCATGAGACTTTGTCTAAGGTGACCTAAAGACAGGGAAAAAATCTTCTGAAAAATATGTAAAATTTGAGCATTTGAGTGTTTCTACCCTTCAATAATCAGTGTAGTCTTTACGTATCAGTACCCTGGTACTACTGTAGTATTCAATTGTGACATATGTTTGGTTCGTGTTTTACAATACGGGTAATTGTCCAAAAAGTGTTATGGGACTTTCAGTTGGCAGTGTATATGTACATCACTGTTCAGAAATTTAAGTACAAATAATTAATATTATCTTAGAAGCAATCCATTACTGCATGCTACTAATTGGGACAAGAATGGTGAGTGGAACAATGTTCCATCATTTTGAAAATACATATAATAATTCCATTATGAATATTCATATTTTTTACAAAGAGAGTTCAAAATGTTTGAGGTGATAAATTCGTTTTTTAGAATGAAGGGAAATAATGTGGTATTTTTCCCCGTCAACCAATACTCCTCAAGACATTACAAAAAATCAATACTGGACAATTCATCTATTTACATTAACTTGTCACTGTACACATCTAAATCTCAGACAATCATCTCATCATTACTGAAATATTTAACAACTTACTTACTATCCTGTTTTTTTCATTACCAAAAATTCTAAAATTCCAACAAACCTATCGTTATTACCAAAACATTAAATCTTTCTACATTTCACTTTTTTCTATCTTAATTATCAAAAATATTTAAGACTTGACAATCCTGTTTTTTTCACAACCCTGGTTTTTTAATCGCAGAAGCATAACTTTCCTGAATCTTTTTTTTTATCTCAAAAACGTTAAAAACTTTCTTTATTCCTTTTTTTTCTTCATTATCTTATGATTTCAGACTTCACAATCCTGTTCTTTCCACAATCTAGTTTTTTTATTGCAGAAACAAAAATTTCCTACAACATGTTTTTTTATTACCAAAATATTTAAAACTTTCTACAATGTTGATATTCATTATCAAAATATTTAAAACAAAAGCCAACCCAGCTTTTTTTACTAACGAAACACATTAACATAAAACCAATCTCTTCACAAATAGGTAAAATTGACGACACTCTATAGATGACAGACATCAAAAACAACAAAAAACAAATTTTATGATAAACATGAACAGATGGAACAATTCCTAGATGAAAGCCTCGACCATTAGTGATTTTTGACGACAGTGGAATAAATTTTATGACAGACAATTAACAATACTTAAGTATTAGACGCATCACAGCAAAGAAATTAAAATGTGAAATTAAAACATAAAAAGAAATGTTCTCATTCAATGTTAACACATTATGGTGGAAGTAATAGTTGAGGACACAATGAAGAGGTAGGTAAAATGAATTAAGAATATATTATTTACATATCCTACAACATAAACTATCGTTACAATATCGGTAATATAAAAAAAATTGTAAAAGAACTGGTTAAAATGCATACATGTCAAGCACTAAAGACAAGAACTGCAGTTAGCACCACTGATGGGTTTCCTCTGTTTAACCTGCCACTAACTTTGCCACCACATTTCCCTGCCACATAACCCTGCCACATAACTCTGACATGTAAAATTATTTATATAAAAGCAGAAATATCCAGAAATAAAAAGGCACAAGCAAAGCTTACGAAATGGACAAAAATTTGGAAAGTGACAAGTCATTCTATATTTCAGTATGAAAGTGTTTTAGTTATTTTAAAGTCAGATTTTTTTTAAAAAAATACAAAGGCGGTAAAAATTGGTGGCCACAAAAATGAGGGGACAGATACATAAATCCTAAAAATAATTGAAATTTAAAAAAATCAATAAGTATTGGTAAGATCGAATCCAATCATTTACAGATTTACCAGGTATTTAAAACTTGTAACAATACAATTGACATCTGTGTACCTGTGTAAGGGTGGTCGGGTGGCGCAGTGGTAACGCACTCGCCTTTCATCTAGCCGACCGGGGTTCGATTCCCGGAACGGACGTGAAAAGGTAAGGGGTTACCTGCCCGACCACCTGGGTTTTCCAAGGTACTCCGGTTTCCTCCCGCAATAAGACCCCTCGCGCGCTTACATCCAGGCCAACAAGAGTGATTAGTATAAGTTGACATAACTTGTTTCACAATTGTTGTAAAATAAATAAAGTTTATATATATAAGGTTGTAGGGGAAGGTGAAAATACTATATCATTCCAACAATAACGGAGAATCTTCAACACAAAGAGTCACTGTTGAAAGTCCAGTTATATATACCCAGTATACATGTACTGACATGATCCATGCCTTGTGTACATGAAGCTTGGTTGCTGAACCATAATTAAACACATTATGTACTGGCATAAACAAAAGGTCCACACATCCTTTCTTTGAATAATTATGAACCAAGGACTTACTACCTCTGTAAGTAATGGCACAGAATTGTGATTCTCGGAAAGCTAGACTAATGTAATACCAATTTATTTTGGTGGAAAAAAAATAAAAATAAACAGGATAACAATACTAATTCCATCTAGGTGTTGATATTGTTACCACATGTGAATATTAGGTGTTGTCACAAATAACTATTCGAATCATGATTTGATACCAAGGGCGAAAATCAAAATTAAGGTGTTATCCTTATGAGCCTTCAATTAATTCTGATAAGGTGTTAACATGGGTGAATATTAGGATTAAGGTGTCATCATGGGTGAATATTGGGGTTAAGGTGTTATCTTGGGTGAATATTGGGATCAAGGTGTTATCTTGGGTGAATATTGGGATCAAGGTGTTATCATGGGTGAATATTAGGATTAAGATGTCATGGATGAATATTGGGATCAAGGTGTTATCTTGGGTGAATATTGGGATCAAGGTGTTATCATGGGTGAATATTAGGACTAAGGTGTCATCTTGGGTGAATATTGGGGTCAAGGTGTTATCATGGGTGAATATTGGGATCAAGGTGTTATCTTGGGTGAATATTGGGATCAAGGTGTTATCTTTGGTGAATATTGAGATCAAGGTGTCATCATGGGTGAATATTGGGATCAAGGTGTTATCTTTGGTGAATATTGGGATCAAGGTGTTATCATGGGTGAATATTAGGACTAAGGTGTCATCTTTGGTGAATATTGGGGTCAAGGTTTTATCATGGGTGAATATTGGGATCAAGGTGTTATCTTGGGTGAATATTGGGATCAAGGTGTTATCATGGGTGAATATTGGGATCAAGGTGTTATCTTGGGTGAATATTGGGATCAAGGTGTTATCTTGGGTGAAAATTGGGATCAAGGTGTTATCATGGGTGAAAATTGGGATCAAGGTGTTATCTTGGGTGAATATTGGGAACAAAGGTGTTATCTTGGGTGAAGAAGAATAAGGTGTGAATATACCAATCAAGGCATTACAAAGAGTGAATATTTTGAACTTAGTGCTAACACAGGTTAACAAGGGGATCGAGGATGAGCGGATTGGTGTTGACGTAATGTATTGTAAATTTTCCAAGGTGAATATGATTTTAGAACTGTAAGACATTACCAGTAAATAATGCCTTGAAATTATTAATGTTACTGTTAAACAGACCTGTACCTTGCACAATCTAATCGATAATTACTGTGCCATGTTGTCAGTCTGTCCTCTTTGGGCAGATAGCTGAGATTGAGAGGGTTTCAAAACATAAGTAAAATACAGGTAAGAATTAAAAAAATATTTTCTGTATCAATCACATCAGAAAAAGAGGTTCAAGTGAACACTTTAAGATACTGTTAATAGCTGTCATGGCATGTTATTCTGACAGTGACACTTTGAACTACAAGCAAGTTATAATTACAAAGTAGTATATGTATCCTCATTAAAAAATAATATATTTGAAAATGTAAATATGAAAATGAACTGTTTATCCATAACATTCTGTTGAGCAATTGTGTTGACTACTTCAATTGAACACTGTCACTTATGTCTCACAGTATTATTGTCCACCAACTCTATAAGTAAGACATTTTATTAAAATATATCTATATTAAAAAAATGTACATACATCAATGCCAATGAGAAAAATTATTATTTGTTAAAAAAATGATAAAATGAATTTTAAAAATTTACTAAAATGGGTAAAAATTATTCAGGAAAAAATCTACCTCTTTTAATTTACAAAAACATATATATTATATATCTTGTCCCGTACTTCAGTTCACAACACTAAAAACAAAGAATGTCACAAGGTTAAATATGCTACAATATTTACAACACTACATGTAGATGTCAAATATATACCTGGATAATGATGAAAAACAGTCCATCAAAACCATACAACAAACAATATGGTAATCCAGTTGCATACATTTATATTAAATCTCACATTAAACAGAAAAAAGAACTGTCACATTGTAAATAGTTTACGTTGAAATTGCCTGAATGTACATGTACACAAATATTTACAATTGCCAAGAACTGTATAACATAAAGATTAAATCACAAAAATGTGTAAAAAAAAAAAAAAAACAGAACAAAAAATATGTAAGTTGTATATAATGAAATTTCTATGCTTGTTGTTATGTTACTGGTACCATGGGCGGCGGTACAACATGACAATATTAAAGCTCTTGATGAATGGCAAGAGGATCAGAAGGATTAAGGTGTTATATATTTAGGCCTGATGGAATCACAACTGTTATTTTATACAAAACAGGAAGTTCTTGTCTGATGGTGGCTGCAGAATTTACAGTACTGCAGATCTAATGTAAAGTGGGTAAGACACTGAAATTGACAGAAAAATGAGACAGCCATGATAACCAGGTACATTTCCCCTGATTTTAGAAAACTAGAACCTGGTAACCATGGCAACACCGCTCTTTTTTATCATATTGCCTAGACTTGGTTGTTCTATCTTACATATTGCTTTACAACCTGGTATCTATGGCAACAGAGGTATTTTATTATATGGCCTAGACCTGATTATTCTATTTCACATGCTGCTTTAGAACCTAGTAACCATGGCAACAAAGATATTTCAATATAATGGCCTAGACCTGTTTGTTCTGTTTTACATGATTCTCTAGAAGCTGGTAGCCATGGCAACAAAGATATTTCAATATAATGGCCTAGACCTGTTTGTTCTGTTTTACATGATGCTCTAGAAGCTGGTAGCCATGGCAACAAAGATATTGCAATATTATGGCCTTCACCTTTTGTTCTTAAAGCCTCCTGAGCCCCATAAGCAGGTCAATGATATAATCTTAAGCTGTTCCCCTGAATTGGTCAAAGGCAGTTCTCAGATAATGACCTAAAAACTAAAAAGCAACAACTTGGCTTATTTTCTGTAAGCAAATTCAGGTATATTTATTTAAGAAACCACAAGCTTATTTTCAGGATAGGCTTATTTCTGAGATCCGCTTATTTTCTAGTTTTTAGGGTATATTGTTGTGATAAAATAAGATTTTTTATTTCATATTCACAACAAACACTATAAACAAATTATAACATCAGTCATCACTCACTCAGACATAACTGACAATAGTTACAACAGGTGTCATTTTACCGTGACACTACGTACAGGTCAACATGTCGGAGATGTAGACTGTAGCAGACTGTAGACAGAATCTCATAAACAAACCAAATACTATATCTCAGAATAGTTTCAACATTGTACCATCATTAGGTCATCTATATTTCACCGGTGTATCAAAAGTTTTAATAAGTTATTTTTGTATTCATGGGCAAACTTGCTTTTTGAAGATAATAAGCCTCTATCTATAGCTATCAACTATCAATATTAAATGTTAAAAATACAAGAATTCTTCAAGAAACTCTGCAGTTTTAGCAGGCAATTTAACCCTCCAGAAAGTTGAAGAAATATACAAAGTATTGTAAACAAGGGTATTTAAATATCTAACAAAAGAGAAATGATCACACTTCACGGTGCCACAACCAAACACAGCTCTGTTGTATCATATTTATATGGCCGGCAGTCATCGTATTTTGCTTTGACTGTTTTGATGATTAAGTACAAATCTTCTTACTCCATCGTCCTTGTTTGGAAAGGTTTACAATAACACAAATTATTTGACTGTTAATCTGAATCTTCACAAAGAGTCTCTCCTCACCACTTTAAAATCTACCTGTGTAGATGGACTCATATACAAACTGCATAAGGTGTCTCAATCAGTCCATAAAAGGTAAGAATTGTTTGTTTAACAACACTTACACTTACAACCATTATTTTTCATTTTAACATTAAAATTCATGGCCATCTCAGGTTAATTTCACAATTCCTAAGAAAAACAACGTACTACTATGAATTTAACAGTCAAACCTCGTTATCTCGGAGTATCTCAGGTATTAAATTTAAGGAAGTTGGGCCGTGACCAACAAAATACTTTTAATTATACACAATTTTTTAGTGATAAGAGTTCAAGTTAACAAGGTTCAACTGTACTTGAATATAACAATAAAATGATATTTTTATACGCTCAACAATAAATTCACTTCAATTCTTGTAAAGTGAAATTTATGATAAAAATTCCAGAACGAAAACATTTCTTATTTTTATAACAACAGCCATTTTCTGTTTAAAGATTAAAAAAAAAAAAAAAAATTTAATTCAGTATTGAATGTCTATTACGTGACTATGAACCATGACTTATTGGTCCTTTACTGTCCTCCCCAAAGAAAACCCAACTTTAGACAATTTCTGATACAACAGTTCCAGACCTGGTCTGATCTAGGACTCACTGTGGTGGCGGCTGAGCAGGGTAAGGTAACGCACCTGGGGAGTCGTATCCTACAGGTGCTGAAGGATATGGCTGTGGGGAAGGGTTCACTGCTGGGTAGGGCTGCACACCATACGGTGGAGCAGTGTTTTGACCAGTTGGATAGGCTCCTGGGTAGGGTGGAGCTGGAAAACAAAACATGGTTATTATCCTTCTAGCCAAGGGATAGCGGAACTTCATTTATGACAAACAAAAAAAATCATCATATATTCATTAATACTAGGATTATATCGCAAAATAGAAAAAAAAAAGTTAAATGTAACGCTGGTGTAAAATCCTCAGACAGATCAAATTCATCGAATGAACTTAAATATGACCTTGCATAAGATAGTGGATATAATCACGTTTACAGCAGGGCTTACCTTCCGGTTGAACAGGATAAGGGGTCGCACTCACATCTCCTGGTGGCAAAGGGGGCTTACTCATGTCTGTACCTTAAATTATACAGAAGGTCTGAACATTATACCAGTACCACAAATTATAAAGATGGGCTTACTCATATCTGAACCTAAAATCATACAGATATGTCTGAATATTATATCAGTACCACAAATTATATACATGGGATTACTCATGTCTGAACCTTAAATTACACAGATATGTCGGAACATTATATCAGTACTACAAATTATACAGAAGGGCTTACTAATCTCAGAACCTAAAATTACACAAAAGGGCTTACTGATATCAGTGCCACATTCTATATAGAAGGGCTTACTCATGTCACAGAAAGGCTTATCATTTCCAAACCTTAAATTATTCAGAAAATCTTTTTTTTCGTGTCATGAATTTCATCATTTAGACAAGTCTGGATTTGCATTTCAAGAGAGAGAGATATCTTTCATTGTATCAACCATTATGTAAACGAGTGCTAAACTACACGAACTCCCCAAGATGTAGCTCATAATATATAGAAATTTGGGAGAATAAATTAAGAATAGTGGCTCTATATACATATCAAATACTAAACGTTCTGTTATGAAAAGGTGGGACAGAGTTAATGAAACTAATAGTTAACGATTTCAGATGTCACGAAAATTATTGGAGTTAACCAAAATGGATATTTTACAAAGTCAGAAAAAACAAAAACTAGATGATCTTACAATTCTATCTAGCTTTCTCAGGTTCAGAATACTGGTATGAATTATCGAAGTGAAAATATCTTTCATCGGGGCTGTGTAGGGGCCTTAAATGTGTGGATAAGGGCTGAAAACAAAAATATAAAGAGTATATCTGACATTACCATCCCCTTTTACAAATACCTATACTGCCTATTCAAACTGACATGAAACTTAAACATCTATATTTAGGCTCTGATTTTTTTTCTCTTCTTTTTGATGCGATTACACATAGAAGTCTTGTACCTCGAAAGTTCTGATGTCATAATGAAAAAAATAGATTCTGGTTTTGGTTTGTCTCCACAAGGCATCATTCCACTTTTGTGCTTAAAGTATAATAATGTTCATATGAAATTTGAGACAGATATATCCAATACCACTCAGAAAATAGCAATAACAATCATTCATTGTAAATAATCCAAGATGGCCACCTGTCAGCTATTCTTCTTTCCGATCTCATTCAAAATTGAATGAGTACAGCTACATGTAGGAATCAAGCTAAACATAGACAGGAAATTTGTAACAGATCCGTTCAGTACTTCTCATGAAATAAAGCTAACAATTGTTCATCATCGAAAACCAAGATGGCCATCTATTGACCAACTGTTTTTCAGATAATTCCCAAAACAAGATAATGCACAACTATAATGCACAGCTAGGGATCATAAGGAATCTACATATGGTGATAACAAACTTTTACTGTCAAAATCCAAGATGGCTACCTGTTGGCCATGTTGTTTTTCAGATCAGTTTGAAAATGGAACAATGCACAAATATGGACCAAGGAAAACCTATATATAAATTTTGAAAAAGATTCATCCAGTGATTCTTAGGAAATTATTGAGGATAGACAGATGGAACGGACAACGGACAACGGACCACGGACCACAGAGTGATTTAAACAGCCCACCATCTCATGATTGTAGTCAAATTAATCAAAGATGAATGTTAGGAAGTCCAAATGGCTAAACGACAATCAGCTAATCTACAAGTTATCTCCCTTAGAAATAACATCTAAAGCTTTTTACATATTCAATAACAACAAAATAAGAAAACATTGGTGAAGGTTAAGTGTGACAATGCTCTCATATCTACAAGATAATCAGTTCACACCTGTAAAACATGCTCAACTAAAAAAGAAATTAAAGAAATAAGCATGCATACATGTACAAAATATCTCATCCTACAAACATGTAGGCATTTATACATGTACAAAATATCTCCTCATCCTACAAATATGTAGGCATTTATACATGTACAAAATATCTCCTCATCCTACAAACATGTAGGCATTTATACATGTACAAAATATCTCCTCATCCTACAAACATGTAGGCATATATTCATGTTCAAAACATCTCCTCATCCTACAAACACAAACAAAAAAGTGTCTTTTATAACATCAAAACAAACAAACAAACACCACACCAATCAAAATCAAAACGAGTACCAAGCATGCATCAACAAAACCAAACCCAAAGTACCTGGCTTATCATAGGCAGGATACGTTCCCTGGGTCTGGTAACCAGCTGGGGCTGATGGATCATCGGTCGGAGAGGGTTGGAATCCTGCAGCAGGCGGCACAAACCCAACAGAGGGCACGCCTATAATAGCCAAGTAATTAGGTCACAAACCCAACAGAGGGCACGCCTATAATAGCCAAGTAATAAGGTCACAAACCCAACAGAGGGCACACCCACAACACCCAAGTAATAAGGTCACAGACCCAACAGAGGGCACACCCACAACACCCAAGTAATTAGGTCACAGACCCAACAGAGTGCATGCCCACAACACCCAAGTAATTAGGTCACAGACCCAACAGAGTGCATGCCCACAACACCCACGTAATTAGGTCACAGACCCAACAGAGGGCATGCCCACAACACCCAAGTAATTAGGTCACAGACACAACAGAGGGCACCCCTATAATAGCCAAGTTATTAGGTCACAGACCCAACAGAGGGCACCCCTATAATAGCCAAGTAATTAGATCACAAACCCAACAGAGGGCACACTCACAACAGCCAGTAATTAGGTCACAGACCTAACAGAGGGCATGCCCACAACAGCCAGTAATTAGGTCACAAACCTAACAGAGGGCATGCCCACAACACTCAAGTTATTAGGTAATAACCCAACTGAGGGCACGCCCACAACAGCCAAGTAATTAGGCCCTAAACTCAACAGAAGGCACGCCTGCAATAGCCACGTATCCAGGTCATAAACCCAACAGATGGCACGCATACAACATTAAAGTAATTAGGTCATAAGTCCAACAAAGGGGATGCCTACAACAGTCAATTAGGTCATTAACCTCACAAGGGTCACTCCTTCAAAAGCCAAGTAATTAACTGATTAATAATAACAGGCTATTACTAATTCAGCTTGTTTTCCAATCCTCAACAGAACAAGAGTATGTAGACTGTTAAATGTTTACTGACCAATGGTTATCGAAATATTCTTTAAATAAAATAAACTGAGGGACAAATACATACCATTATGTGATAAGGAACAAAAGACATGATGTTTATGTCTCTGATAAAATAATGTTAACAATTTATCTTTTCATGTCTTCGTACCTTGGAGCAGTTCGGCAATAGTGTCCTAAAACACTTCACAAAAACCCATGTTATTTGAGCAGAATGTACACAAGTGTGCCAAGCGGTTGATCATGCTAGAGTAAAATCGTCATAACTCGGTTATTGTTACACGAGACTGAAAATTTGTATACTTATGTATCAAAATCATATTGAGTATATAATTATGTCTTTTGTAGTCACCAACTTTATTCAGTATTTTAAGATATTCAGTTTGCAGACACTACTCACAAGTGTGGTACACAGTATCTGCTGCCGGTATTCCATGAAAATACTCTCAATAACTCGATCAATTTTACAAATACCAATGTAAAACTTGGTACAAAAATGTATTATGATATCTACAATGTCACTAACCACATGTTTATCAATTATTATAAGATGTTTTCTAAAGAATCTTTCTGACTCATTCTGTCGACAACTGCCACCTACTGATATTTCTAGACTGCTAGGAATAAATGTCAGTGATTTCATAATCCTGTGCATTCCATCATATTGTGCTGAGAATTAACTCAAACCAGAGCAATACTAGTTTGTGACTGAAGCGAATCTCATTCTGTATATCGTCAGATCTAAAAAGATTTTAATATGATACTTTCTTGTCTCATTAAGATTGTATGCCACCATTTTGAAAGATGGCAGCTTAGTTATGGCAAAGTACTGCAGCAAGGTAGCCTTGGTAACCAGTTGGAAAATTTGAACCAATCAGAATGCTGAAACTGATAACAACATCTCCTTCCAGGAGTGGTAACAATAGACTTGAACCATAATTGTTTAGCCTAATTTATGAATAGTTTATAAACCAAATAGGAGGCACTTCTACAATGGCACTTATACCAAAATGGGGGACACCTTCAGCAGCCAAGTCACTAATTCACAAACAGAGCAGGAGCATGTCTCTGTGACATTTTGATATATTACCACTACATTATTGGCTGTTGTAATTACCTTGGTTATTGACATCGTAGGGGGCGGGGCCCGTTACCGTGTCATACATAGGCGGCGGCACCATTGGTTGTGTGGCAGGCATAGGTTGCGGCATCATTGGTTGTGTGGCAGGCATAGGCGGAGCTGTAAGGTAAATATCAGTTATTACAAGTATGTGTCAAAATATTTCAGGAAAGAATTATTAAATCTTAGATAAGTATTTGTTTGGTTTCATTATCAAGTGTCCTGCAGAAAATCACAGAGTTGCACCATCAAATTACCTGAATATTTATGATTGAATGTAGCCCAGAGAGGGTCTAAAAAGGTGTAACAAACAACCTGCACACAACCCACAGAAAATTGTGGTACTTACAGTAAGGTTGGTAGGTGGTAGCCGCAGGGTAGGTTCCAGGTCCTACAACATAACAACATAAGAGTAAACCTACAGCCAGACATTGATTCATCTCCTTTAAGCCAAGTGACCCCGGGTATACTTCACAGCCCAACAACCCCAGGGAAACTTCACAGCCCAGCGACATGTGGATACTTCACAGCCCAGAGACCCCAGGGAAACTTCACAGCCCAGCGACACGTGGATACTTCACAGCCAAGTGACCCCAGGGAAACTTCACAGCCCAGCGACATGTGGATACTTCACAGCCCAACAACCCCAGGGAAACTTCACAGCCCAACAACCCCAGGGAAACTTCATGGCCCAGCGACATGTGGATACTTCACAACCTAACAACCCCAGGGAAACTTCACAGCCCAACAACCCTAGGGAAACTTCACAGCCTAGCAACACGTGGATACTTCACAGCCCAACAACCCCAGGGAAACTTCAGAGCCCAGTGACCAAGTGATACTTCACAGACCAGTGACCCAGGGATACTTCACAGTCCAGTGACCCTTGGGGTTCTTCACAGCCCCACCAACCTAGGGATACTTCACAGCCCAGAGACCCAGGGATACTTCACAGCCCAGAGACCCCAGGGATAGTTCACAACCCTGTGACCAAGGGATACTTCACAGCCCAGTGACCCCAGGGATAATTCACAGCCCGCAGACGCCAGGGAAACCTCACAGCCCAGTGACCCTTGGGGTTCTTCACAGCCCAGAGACCCAAGGGATACTTCACAGCCCAGTGACCCAAGGGATACTTCACAGCCCAGTGACCCAGGGATACTTCACAGTCCAGTGACCCAGGGATACTTCACAGCCCAGTGACCCAGGGATACTTCACAGCCCAGTGACCCATGGATACTTCACAGCCCAGAGACCCCAGGGATAATTCACAGCCCAGAAATCCCAGGGATAATTCACAGCCCAATGACCCAGGGATACTTCACAGTCCAGTGACCCAGGGATACTTCACAGCCCAGAGACCCCAGGGATAATTCACAGCCCAGTAACCCAGGAATACTTCACAGCCCAGAGACCCCAGGGGTACTTCACAGCCCAGAGACCCAGGGATACTTCACAGCCCAGTGACCCAAGGATACTTCACAGCCCAGAGACCCCAGGGATAATTCACAGCCCAGAGACCCCAGGGAAACTTCACAGCCCAGAGACCCCAGGGATAATTCACAGCCCAGAGACCCCAGGGATAATTCACAGCCCAGAGACCCCAGGGATACACATATTCCCATAATTTGATGGATTGTAGAAAAATTCCACTCAATCTATAATGATTGTGACTTAACAAAATTAATTCCTGCACTCATGCAGCTAAGTACACAGAATGAAGACCTGTCTGACAGGTTATCACAGAGGATCAATGATCTGGAGCTGATGAAGTGGTCATGCAAATGAGATACAGACAAACTATAGCATACTAACACTACATTTTGTAAATCCAATCCTGGTAATAAGCACATCTATATACATGTTTATTACAGCTTTGTTACATTAAAAACCCATGCAAATCATTGTCCTAAGCCTTCCACCTGACTATGAGCAAAATAACTATACATGGCCTAATAGGCTTATTGCCCTGCAACACACCCATCACATGATTGCAAGAAGTGATGTCCTGACCCCTGTGCTTATTGTCCTGTAATCAACCCATCCCTTATTGTGAGTAAGAAGTGAAATGATGACCTCTTCAGCTTTTTGTCCTGGAATACACCTACTTCTGACTGTAAGAAGTGATACATTGATCACCTGAGCTTATTGTTCTGTAATAAATCTACCTCTGACTGTAAGAAGTGATACATTGATCACCTGGGCTTATTGTTCTGTAATAAATCTACCTCTGACTGTAAGAAGTGATACATTGATCACCTGAGCTTATTGTTCTGTAATAAATCTACCTCTGACTGTAAGAAGTGATACATTGATCACATGGGCTTATTGTCCTCTAATAAATCTACCTCTGACTGTAAGAAGTGATGTGTCGATCACATGGGCTTATTGTCCTCTAATAAATCTACTTTTGACTGTAAGAAGTGATGTGTTGATTCACTGGGCTTATTTTTCTGTAATAAATCTACCTCTGACTGTGAGTAAATAGTGATACGTCAACCCCTTGGGGTTATTTCAGGTCAGATATTTTCAACTATTAGACAGATCAGAAGAGTTTCCTTAGAGAAGGAAGAGAGAGTAACACAGTAACCTTTATTAGGAGTCGCTAGTGGTTGGTTCAGCGGCACAGCTGCCATCTCGTGACTTGGACCTGTCAAAATCAAAATTTGGGCACCCTCATTATACAAATGATTGTAAGATTATGTTTTTGAGTTCAAATGGTCTGAATGATTAAAAATATTTTTATTTGTGTGATATACCATATAGTTCCTTACATTGCATTACTGATCATAGTTGTCAAACACCCTTACACCTTCACCATACCCAGAAATCATCCATATCTGACGCATAAATTCAACATACAAAGACAAATGATTGTGGAAATACATTAAGCCATGCAACATGCTGATAAGTAAACTTCATCCCTTTCACTTCAAACAAAAGAGAAGAAAATAAAAATTACCTGAAGGTTTTGAAAATCGTGATCGAATACTCTGTGCAGGCGTCTTGCCTCCTTTCATCCTATGTTTACAGCAGCAAAAGATGCAGACACCAACGACGATAAACGCAACAAAGATGCCGATTATAACACCAGCGGTTCGACCAGCACTGTCAACACAAAGTCATGGATACACACAGAATGCAACACAATGTTTAGTTGGGCGGGTGGCACAGTGGTAAAGTGCTTGTTTTTCACCTCGAACTTCACAGTTTGTTTCATAGACCTTTAATACAGATCCTTCAGGAACAAAAGTAACAAATATTTTGAGAAAGGTCACAGGTTCTTATAGATTTTGTAACCGTGACATGTCACACAGTCATTCGTGGCTTTGGGAAACTCTTCATCAGTATTGAAGCTGACAATTGCAACAGAGTTTCTTCAAATACCGAGAGAAATTTTCAGAAAAGTTCTGTGAAATATCCCACCCTTTATTCAGCTCCTTTTGAATTTAAGACTCACCACCTGCCATCAACTTTCTTCTAAGTGTGATAGACGCTTGCATTTATGAGGAGTCGAAAAATATTTCTTTTTTTATTATCCCTCTTCCATTTGGTGGTGACTCCTTTCCTTTTGGGATGACCCAGATTTGGAGTAATCCCCCCCTCTCACTCCACCTCACCTCCTTTACTTTTTGGGGGTCACCCTGCCATTTTTTTTATGTGAATCTTTTCCTTTTGGAGGTGACACATTTACTTTTCGAGGTGACTACTTTCCTTCCAGGGTGACCCCTGACTTTTTGAGGGTCACCTTTGACCTTTCAGATGACTCCTTTACCTTTAAGGGTGACCCCTGATATTTCAGAGATGACTTCTTTCCCTTTTGGGCATGACCCCTGACCTTTCAGACAGGACTCCTTACTGTCAGAGGTGCCCCTTGACATTTCGGGGTTAATACTTTTTAGGCGCGAGCCTGACTTTTTGTAGGTGATTGCTGTTTGATACAAATCACTGTCTAAATTTGATGGAAAATGATTGAGATGTCTTTTAAAGAAATAAAATTTGTCAATTTTCTTCATGACACAAAGCAGATGGTGCACCGTGATGGACAAAAGCTTACATTAAAACAATCCTGACTTTGCCTCTGGTGAAAGTTTTAGTTTAAAATGTCCAGAACTACATGCGTGTTTAACTGTATGGATATGCGGTGTATCCCCAGCATGCACCAGTTGTTTGGAAAAATGTGTGACACTTACTCATCAAAGTAAGAACAACATGTCTGTTGTCCTTCCTCTCCACAACAATACTCGGCATCATCTTCATCCCCGTCACCTGGACACACAAACCGCCCAAGGTAGGACACATTGCCATATGTGTTTGTCACGTATCGGTCGTTGTAGCAGGCAGTTGGCACTATAAAGAAAAATACACCCAATACAATGATACACTGAGAAAATCACACCACACTTTTCTACAGTATTTTCTATCAATGAATTGGCTTATCAATTTATCAAAGGCTTAAATTAACAGCGCAAAATATGATATAAACTGTTATCTTGTAATGTCTGTTATACTGAGCTGACGTTTTCTCTTTTGAAAAATATTGGCACACAAAATGTACTTTTTCTCCTAAGTTGATTATTCAAATATGAAATCTATTCTCATAACAACTTGATGATATGAATTTTAAATACCAAAATATTTCCAGTCAAGCCATCAACATTTATTACTATTCCAGTCAAAGTGACCTTTACCTGCTGTCTATTTCAAGAAACATGACCTTCACTTACTATCTATTCATAGCCAAATGGCTTTCACCTACTATAAATGACCTTCACCTACTATTATAAATGCCTAGGAGTTATACCTCTGTCTGGGTTGCTGTAGTACGTTCGGCGTCGACGCCAAGAGCTGGCACCATAGATAACCCCAGCAGCTATGGCTGCTTTTGTCGCCGTGTTGGATCCAAGATATCCCTTTCGTTTTGTTGAACTTGTCGACCTTGACCTTGATGATCTTGAGGTTGATCTTCCTCTCCCTGAGCTTCTCCCTCCACCTCTTCCTCCTCCTCCTCTTCCTCCTCCACCTCTCCTTCCTTCAGTTAGAGATACTGGCAACAACAATGTTACATATAACATCAACAGCGCATTGGAATTCTGGGAGATTGAGGGTCATAGACCAACACACTCCAGCTTGTCTGTATAATTCTGGGAGATTGAGGGTCATAGACCGACACACTCCTACTTGTCTGTATAATTCTAGGAGAATGAGGGTCCTTGACCACAACACTCTGGTTAGTCTGTATAATTCTGGGATATTGAAAGTTGTAAACCACTACATTCCAGCTAGTCTGTGTTACTTCAGACTCTGCACCACTTACTGCATGTTAATTTGATGGCTTGATGTGTCTGTGAGGGTCTACACCAGAGACTGACATCTTATAAGGACAATCATCCATTCTTTCTTAAACAACTGAAAGTCATTAATGAATTGCTAAACTGATTATAGGGGACATGTGGACAAACTTTTGGAATATTTTATCATTATAAAATTAATATGCAGTAAGCTACATTGCATTTTGTCAGGGTCCTACATCGTAGAGGTTTTGACCATTACCCAATAGATGTGTAATCAAAAAATCCATATACATGTGTCTGTAGGGAGATAACATTTTAATGTTTTTACATCACAATCTTTTTATTTAATAGTCGATTTTTACAGCAACACTTTTCCTGCAGTAAAATTCCTGTTTGATTTTGCAATTAAATGAAGCCACGTAATGAAGCCACAATTTTTTAGTGAAGTAAGACTATTTTTAATGAGGTCACACATTTTCTTTAATGAAGTTACACTTTTTTTTACATGAAGTCACATGTTTTTAACAACTGTCTGTATACTGTATGTAGTAAATTGTTAGGACTCGCTTTATCCATTCCTGGTCCCCATCAGCTGTCAAGCTTAGCATATTGCTATACCAGTACTGACAAAGTGAAAACAAAGGGCAGTAACTCTGGGAAATCAGAATGTGTGCTACCTTTCCCATGGTAAACAATACAGCTTTAGTCATACAGTGTCGTTACAGCTCTCAGTCACCCACAACAATATACAACATGATACATATCAACTGACTGATGTTTTGGTGAGAGATGGGGTCAGTATTCGATATTGACCAGGTCAGGGAAAAACCACAAATTTGCGTATAATACACAAACTGGCCTATTATATGCAAATTTGGGAGTGGATTAGTTACTAAAAATAGCCCAAATCCTTTTAACAGTAACTTTTGCAACATGTTACTAAAAGTCGCATTAATTTATGACGAGGTAAATTATTTTGTACTACATGTAAAAGATACTTGCTGAAATTGCTGGCTACTTAAAAACTTGATGTAACAGTCGCTGCCATAGTAATTAATTGTATTGTTGTAACTAGAGACAAATATAATAACTCTGTTGTAACATTGGACATATCAGTACTTTCACACATGGAAATGAATTAAATTTTTTCTTGTTGTATGAATTTCATGATTAAATAAATATGACTTTGTCAAAAAAGAATGAAATGTGAAGTACGATGTGATCTCGGTTACTTTTAAGTAACAAATCCATAACCGAATAGGTGTAAAATAAGTCAGTGTTTATTATACGCAAATTTGTAGTTTTCCCCGACCTGTTGACATGGTCATAGACATTTTCAATTCCAATATAATTTGCTCGTTTCCAGCAGGGACGTAGATAACTGTCTATCTACGTCCTTGTTTCCTGTTACTATCAAAATTATTTTTTCTCAAAATGATTGATATCGGCTACAATGAGCATCAATGGCCTGTTGTGGCAATTAGCTATACTAAAGGTCCAGTATAACTACATTCTCTGTATCTAGAATCTACTCACCCAACACGAAAATAACAATCAGTAATACCAAAATCCGGAAGAGAAGAGAGCTAGTTTTGACAGCCATTTTCTGTGCATTTAATGATATACATCCGGGGAACCCTCTTATAACTTTCGGTCTCGTGTTCTAATAATAGCAAATGCATGGTTGTCGGGCTATCCCTGTCGTACAGCTACGTCATTCAAGGGGCCTCCGACGGGATTATTATTTTGGATGTCTGCTTTTGGCCCGTATAATTTATAATGCTATACAGTACATGCATAGAATAATTGACTATTTTTCAATAGCTAATTTTTTATATGAAATATTAGTATGATTCCCATTATATTATTCAGCGAACTTTGTCAGGGCCTCTATGTATCAGAACTTGTCATATTAGGAAATACACTAATACGATTTCCCAATCATTATTTACATTTGGTATGGGCTCCATTTGTCTTTTATCAGTAAATAAATCGAATCTCGAAAAAGTACTCATATACGTTACAATCTTTCCATTTCCTTTCAAGAAATAACGACATTTTAGTCAGAATCTAAGATGGACATTTTTTCATATTTTTTAAAAATTTTTATTTTTTCCCACGAAGTCCTCAAATTTGACTTGCACAGCAACAGACAGAAGGAAATCTACGTATAACATTTGAAAATGGCACCTCGTGAATCATATACTGTAATATATAGTACAATGTGGATACAGTGATAACATTGTCAAGGGGAGACATCTCGACGACATGTGGTGAGGGAGACATCATGACGACATTTGGTAAGGGGAGACATAATGACGACATGTGGTGAGGGAGACATCATGACGACATGTGGTGAGGGAGACATCTCGACGACATGTGGTGAGGGAGACATCATGACGACATGTAGTGAGAGGAGACATCATGCCGACGTGTGGTGAGGGAGACATCTCGACGACATTTGGTGAGGGGAGACATAATGACGACATGTGGTGAGGGAGACATCATGACGACATGTAGTGAGAGGAGACATCATGACGACATTTGGTGAGGGGAGACATCATGACGAAATTTGGTGAGGGAGATATAATGACGACGTGTGATGGGGGAGACATCATGACGACATGTGGTGAGTGAAACATCATGGCGACGTGTGGTGAAGGGAGATATCATGACGACATGTAGTGAGGGAGACATCATGCCGACGTGTAGTGAGAGGAGATATCATGACGACATGTGGTGAGGGCAGACATCATGACAACATTTGGTGAGGGGAGACATAATGACGACATGTGGTGAGGGATACATCATGACGACATGTGGTGAAGGGAGATATCATGACGACATGTAGTAAGGGAGACATCATGACGACGTGTGGTGAGGGGAGACATCATGACGATATGTAGTGAGGGGAGACATCATGCCGACGTGTAGTGAGAGGAGATATCATGAAGACATGTGGTGAGGGCAGACATAATGACGACATGTGGTGAGGAGAGACATCATGACGATATATAGTGAGGGGAGACATCATGACGACATGTAGTGAGAGGAGACATCATGACGACAAGTAGTGATGGAGACATCATCGATGTAAATACTCCATGTGTCTATTCGATGTGATTAATCTAATTGCAATGACTACTGTGTGTCTATCTGCTCTGACTACTCTTTGTATCAATTCGACATGTGATTCCTCTTTGAGTTTTTTTTCGCTATGACAACTCTATGTGTTCATTCGCTGTGACCACTCCATGTGTCTTACCCGGCTATGAATAATCTATGTGTTTATTCGCTGTGTCTGCTTTATCTGTCTTTTTAACAAATCTCTTTTACAAGTACCACGTTAACCCCTGAAACTCTGGAACGAGTTATTTCCTGGAAGGAGAGTATGAAACCTTGGTAAATACTAGCCGCGATATACCGATCGACTAGAGAAAAGCTGTCTTTAGCTCGTACGGTAGAGCGTCAGACTAGGTATATCATCGGTCACGAGTTCGAATCCTAGCGGAGGCATTGAAATGAATCATGACCTAATTTTATACGGTAGCCATACAGTTATGGCGTATTCCAGGCTGACACGAACTAGTGTCTTGTATAAATTTATGTTTATTTAGAAAGTGAACAGATCTCCGTAGTGGTGCAAACATAGAATTTACCATTTTGTGTACTCATGTGTTCATTAAAGGACAAAAAATGATAAATAATTATTCGTATGTCTTTCTCCTTGTATATTTCTTATATTTTGCGTTTTTTAAATAATATTTTCGTTCATCATTATTCCTACCAATTCGCATAGAGTTACACTTTTGGGGATTCAATTTTAGTAGCCATGTGATGATCCAAGTCATTGTGCACCCTCACTTCCCTGTATACGTTTAAATACTAAGGTTTCATCCTCAAAAAGGTAAGCTTCGGACTGTAAAGTATCGGGTAGGTCATTTCTGTATATGATGAATAATGCTGGCCCTTATCCCCAACCCATGGGGAACTCCGAATGATACAGCGTTCCGATTGAACGACATTTGACTTAAAAGTCTTTCGTGTGTGGACTGTAACGCTTTTTGAAAATCCATATGTATATACAATCGATCGATTTAACATGTTCAGTTTGTACTTGGTACATAATGGGATATGCTCTTGTATAATTCCTAGTTGAGATATTATGTGTGTGTATCGTATACCATTAACAATAGCGACGTTGCTGTCATAAACGATACTAATTTCTATAAAACACTGGTGCACGACATTTGAATACAGCCGAATAGTAATAATGGCAATGTAAAGTTATATCTATTCTGGCGTTACAGACTTTCCAGCTCTAAAAACCTGTTAACAAATTACACAGGCAATGATCAATAATTCATTCGTTACTAGCTAACCCCTTGGGGGCCCCTGGAGAAACAGACTAATAATGTTTATTTCATATTGTGACATGATATTTGTCACTATTACCAAATAACGCGCATTCATCGTTACACAGGTATTGGTAACATTTTCCGTTTCTCTGTGTCGACTGAGGTTGACAAAAAATGTGTAAGACGGGTTAAGCTCTAATATATTACATAACTACTGTGATAAATTGTAAACGATACTTTGTCTTCAAATACGGTCTAAACCTTGGCATTGCGGAAATATATTAAACAATTATTTAATTCAAGGAAAAAGGCACACATTCCTGAGAATTCCAGGGTTTACGGTTAATTCCTTGATGAAATATGATGCCCAGGTCTAGAAATTTCTGATATTTACTAAAACCGGGAACATTTTTCTATTGTTTA